ATACCTTTTTCTTCCACAGCATTTACTTGGGATTATAGAATCAAAATTAAATCCATAGACAATTTTGTTCTTGAGTTATATTCCATTTTAGACTTTTTTCAGTACTTCTCGAATCTATTTTCCCAAGGTCCTTAGCATAGAGATGACCATATCCAGATTTTGCTTTCCTGCTAATCACTGCATTTAAGCATTCAAAGTAGTTTTTACTCACTGAAAGTGGCTCTTAGAGTCCAAATTGGGACTCATGTTTTCTTGTTTTGAGACCAGTGACTCCTAAGGTGTTGTTATGTGGGAGAGCTTGCGTTTGTGGTCTTGGAGAAGTGGGGGTTTTATGTGAAGAGATCAGAGAAATAAAGCAAGAGAGTAGAGGAATAACTGACACCTACCCCAACCCCCACCAAACAAGACTGAACCCAATGGACTAGGCAGTCCTATGAGAAAGAGAACCTAACAAAGTCTGTGTGAGACTCTTTGAGTGGAGACATCCAAAAGTCCAGGTGATAAACAGCAGCTCAGAGTGGGGAAGGGACAGTTCCTTCATTTCATTATGGTGCTCTGAGGCCCTCTGAGGGCTCGGGATAGCATAGGGAGGATATCTGTGCTTAGCAGAGCCATCTCCATGGAGAGATCTGCAGCTAAAGAAAATCCTGGGGAAGGAGCAAGAGTAGAAAGATATGAGCAGGTAATTTCCTTTCCTTTGGGGCTCATGGTTTTCCAGGGAAGTGCAATATATCTCGGTGCAATATAATTATGCTCTGCCTCTTGGTCTAGCTGACTGGGTTCTTTGAATTAGGGTTTAACCTCATCTTGGATCCCTGTCATAGGTCCCTTGTCCTCACTTGGTAATGCCCATGAGATCACATTTACCCTGCTGTGCTATGAAAACATGTTATTACCCAATTTTCAAGCATTGTTATATAGACACACCACTGTGTTAATCATTGTGTCCCACTACCGTACCAATGTTTCAGCTGTGAAATAGCATGTATCTTTTCTACCAATAGTCAATATTATACTCCTTTAGTAGTTAGCTTTTGGTTGTTTCTATCCTTTTTTTTTTTTTTTTTTTTTTTGTAGTCAGTTTTAATTCCTTTTGAAAGTCGAGTTAGTCTTTGGAAAAATAATTTCTTTGATCAAAATTGACAATATACATGGTTTCATCATTCTTAAATGCTAAGTTATTGACCAAAAACTCCTTGACACTATCTACAGAGCTAGTTAATTATCCTGTTTTTTTTTCTTTAAAAACCCCAAACTTTAGTGGTAATAGGCAAACACTGACTGTATATTTAAGTACTTCAGCCTCCCACCTGGCATCAAAGAGACAAGAGGTATCTCTTAGATTGTTGCTGATGGTACTGCCACATGTTCAGATAGTGTTCAATATCTCTCAGCTTTGTACTTGCCCTTCTATACCCTTCTCTTTACCAAAGTAGTGGAAAGACTACAAAATACATTTTGTAGAATCCCTCACCAACCAGCATCCAATGGGAGACAGAAGATGGAGAGTTGGCAGGGGCGGGGAGAAGTCACTTTTACAGTTTCTGCTTGCATCTGTGGTAGTGGCAGCATCAGCAATGACATCAAGGACAGCAGCAGTGGGGACAGTGATGGTGGTGACAGCAACTGTAACACTGGCATTTGGGACAGAACCTAGAAGCTGGGGCACTGGATGTGTGTCAGGTCCTGAAGGTGCTACTCAGGTTGTGTTCCAACAGAAGTAGCCACAATGACAGAGAGTTTATGGACTCTAGGTAAAATTGTTTTTTGTTTTGTTTTGTTTGGTTTGGTTTTTTGAAGATTTTATTTATTTATTTGACAGAGAAAGAGCGATCACAAGTAGGCAGAGAAGCAGGCAGAGAGGGGGGTGGGAAGCAGGCTCCCCACTGAGCAGAGAGCTCGATGCAGGGCTCGATTCCAGGACCCTGAGATCATGACCTGAACTGAAGGCAGAGGCTTAACCCACTGAGCCACCCAGGTGCCCCTCTGGGTAAAATTAATTCCCCTGTTTCCTCCAGCTCCAGGTCTGACAGTGGTTGAGGGTAATTGCCAATCTTTGCGCAAGTTGACCTTTCTTGTTTTGCTCTTCTGGCTCACTCCAATACTTTCATTACAGATTTCTTCCATTAAATTCCCTCTTCATTGAACACTAGAATCTGGGTCTATTTTCCTGGTTATGCAGGGACTGATGCCCACTGCTATGAATCAGCCCATGTGTGTAGCAGTCAGCAGATGTGGTGTGCCCTGGAAACCATTTCATCATATGCTGGGAAAACATTCAAGGAAGACTCAATTGATGACGTCAGCCCTGCTGCAACTGTTCTTTATCTCTCAGTAGAGACTCGCCAAACTCTCAGATCCAGTGAGAGATTTGTGGTATTCACAGGCTTTTATAGACTCTTGTTTCTGCCATGTTTATTCCCCAGAAGGTCTGTATTTAAATTATTGAAAAAAAGAAAAGCAAACTTCCTGTGTCTGGTAAGTCCCTTCTTCCTTCCCTAAGCTACACAATTCATCACTCTCATCGCCCTGGTTTTTTCTTCCCTTTAAATGCCTAAGAATTTTGAATTTGTGGTTTTCTTTTGGTATTTCATCCTCCATTTTTCCTAAGAATTCTTCATTTTTACAGATAATCTGGCATTCAGAAGGAGGATTTTCATGGAAAAAAGGAAGTCTGTGGTAATAAAGCTAGCCCAGAGGAAGGGGTAACATTGCTTTCATGAGTCAGCTTAAAATGTGAGGTTTATGCTGATGACATCAGTGTGGGCAAGATCCCTGTGCCACAGGTTCATTAACATCAAACAGAGCTTCAATCCAAGGTAAAAAATGGGAATATCTTACTCCTCCAAAACTTAAGAAGGGACTATTATCTTGAGCAATGGGACAATTCCATAGGTTACTACAGTAAAATTCACACCCATACCTCTACATTTAGAAATTGTTCCTTTACCATTCTGAGCAATGCAGGTGGATGGTACTGACTTCAAATATGGGAAATACTTACGTAATGGCCCATTGCCCTGGTGGATTTCTTGACCTTTAATATTCAGCCTCCTGTCTCCAAGCACTTTCTTTTCTCATATCTGTACATAATGTCGATATGGTAGACTTAGAAGCTGGCACTTGATGAGACACAAAATTTGGAAGAAAAAAGATAAACTGTGCAGTTGCATGTTGCCCAGAAGCAGGGAAAGGCACACAGCCAAATTCCTGCAGTGCCTTGTATCACCACATGACGTTGCTTGGATATCAGCTTATCAACAGACTGAGTTCCTACTGCCACCTTCACATGAAGAAAGAGACCTTGCAAGGAAACAACACTGATCACCAGTACCAGCTTTTAAAAAGAGGAAGATCACAATATAGGGTAAGTCCTTTAAGCAGATTTCTCCTTTTTGTTTCAGACAAAAGATATTTGGTTGATTTGTCCTCCTTGAATTCTCCATGCACTTTAATCAAACTTTACCAGGTATAGTCCACTCAAGCAGGTTAAGATGGATTGCCTGAGCAATAGCCCAAGAAAAGCACCTATGAGTTGTTGCCACAAGAAAGATCGTCAGTCATTTCCTTATGCTATTTGAGGAAAGAAGAAATCTTTCTAGCTTTGAAGTATATTTATGCTCTGCTCTACAGATCTGGAAAATGGGAGGAGGGATACTGAGATGATCTGAGTACAAGATAGAGTGCTGGCTTCTATCACAGAGAATATTAAAAGAGTATATCTTCTTTGGTATAGCTTCTGAAGTGCACATTGAGGGAAAGCTGTAGTAAATAAAATATTTATAGTTTAATTTATAAGTTTTATCACGGAAACAGGACACAAAGAGATGTTGACTGATGTTTTCCTAATAAATTTCTCTTCTGGAAGATCTGAGCCTTTGCTTTGTGAACTCAGAAGCAGAGATTCCTCCCATGTTAAAATATGTCTACAGTGTGTGCATGTGGGTGCTCTTGTGTGTGCAGGTGTGTGAGCATATAAGTGGAGAGGAGAGGGAGAGAAGGAGCTCACACATAAAGTGGGAGCTTTCTAGAGCCATGATCTCAGTTAATCAAACAACCCAATGGGGTAGGTTTGGCAAGGACAAAGGTGTGAGCAGAGGGGAAAATGTTTGGAATTCTCACTTTATGCCTTGGCAACCCTAGTCTAATACATCCACTATCCTTTGACTATGTTTTTTATTATTATAAACATCTCAGAATCCAAACCCTACACTATATAGTAAGGAAAAAAGACTTACTCATAGCAGCTGTGACTCCTTCATTTTCTCAGGCAAGTGACAAGAAATACAGCTAAATTTAACAGCTTCTTTTATAGTACACTGCTGCAAAATTACAAATTGAAATGTGCAAGACATGGAGAATAATGTAAAGGGAATACTAGACTGTCACTAAAAATCATATTTTTTAAGGGATATTCCATGAGCTGGGAAAGGGCACAACATATAGAGTATGGTCTCTCTTTTCGAAAATCACACAAAATGTACACAGAAAAAAAAAAGAGTAAAAGGAAATCAATCAAATGACACCAATAGTTATGGACAGTAGATTACAGATAATCATATTTTCTTCTCCAATTTTTAGATTTTTTCCAAATTTTCAAAAATGACATATATTACTTTTATAATCAGATAATGTAATAACTATTATTTAAAATGATCAAGAAATAACTTGTGACCTGATGTGGTTCTATAGTCCACCTGTTGCAAAACCCAAGATAAAGCAGAAAGACAACTCTCAATTATTCTTTCCATCAACAGGGGGTGAGAATAGGGCAAACTGCAGAACCAAGCAGTCTGCTGAGATCCAATTACTTAGAAACATGTGAGGAAACTTTTTATCCCTTGACATAAATAACATTTATTTATGTATTTATTTATTTATTTACTTGCTTACTTACTTTACTTGCTTGCTTACTTATTTACTTAGGTCCATTCCCAAAACAGGATGAACAAAATGAAATTTCATGCTATGCTTTATTGTTCCTTGGAGGTATAGGATAAAGAATGGGAGAAAAACAGAAAAGACAACAAAAACTTTGGAATGTTCCACGGATTCCTTGCATTCGGGTCCCTTCGGCTGCGTACACCCACAATGCTTCCTTAATGAAGGTATAGTGGGTCATTGGCTAATGGAGGGAACTTGCGTGTCTCTCCCTCAAAAAGACCTCAAGGCTTGAGGTCTTTTTCTCCTGTCTCTGTTTATCCAGCTTTAGGTAACATCGGGCCCAACACAGGCACTCAGTGCATGTTGATGGCAGGCATGGTGAATGAATGAGCAATTGGATGGTCCGGTCCTATACTCATCCCATTTCAGGAGCTCTGTAGATGGTCTCATCTTCATTGCTAAAGCTCAGTATTGACCACACTGTGGCTCCCTGCTAGAGAGCTATGGTAGCTCCTTCCAGTCACAGTTATTTAAAGTCATTCTCATTAATACTTTTTGCAAAAATTTCAGTTCTCTTCTATCCCCTCAAGGAAGGATAAACAACGGGGTAAGAATATTAGGACTATGATTTAAGAAGTTTAGATCTCTGCTAAGGAAAAGCCATAGACTGCTTTTTTTCTCTGTAAAATAAAACCATAACTTTTAAGATTTTATCTTATATAATGGAAACTCTCATTGCCCTTTGGAGCTTTGCTTTTGAAACTGACTTGCTATTTTCATATTATATTGTTCTCCATCATTTGAAAAGGCTTAATTAAGAATCAATTATCTTCTTCAAAGATTTTCTTTTAAAACTTCTAATTCAGAAACTGTAAAGTTCAAATGATGCCTCAAATCGTGAAGTATTTGGCTTTCCTACTTTCACTCTGGATATATTTTTGATACCAAGCTGAAGGTCTCTAGACATCAAAAAAAAGAAAAAAATCTGACTCACAGGTTTCAACTCCACCCCAAATTTCTAACAGATAAAAGCCACTTTACTGTTATATATAATTAACTTAAATTTAGTTTCCATTACAATGGTTATCAACTACTTTTGAAACTTCTATCACTGTTTTGAATTTTTTGGCCTAGGGTGAACTTATTTCACCTTGGTTTTTCTAGAATACTGAGGCCAGTATCATTGTAAGCACTGATAACAGATTAGGTAGGTAACAGTAATTGTAGTCCAAGTCCTTCTTGTTCCTCCTTTGCACTGCATGGCAGCCTTCTAAATGCTCTCCCTACCAATGGCCTGTCTTCCCATAAGCTCATTCTCCATGGGGGGCCAGAGTGATCTTTCTAAAACTCAGATCTTGTCAGCTTCAAGTATGGCATTTCAGGTTGGATAATTCTTTGTTGTGAGGGACTGGGAGGTTGTCAAGCGCACTGTGGGATGTTCAGCTGAGCTCCTGGTCTCTATCTGCCGACTGCCAGTAGCATCCATCTTCCATTTCAGCATTTATGACAACTGAAAATGTCTTCCCACATTGCCAAATGTTCTTAGTGGTCAAAATCACTCCAGTTGAGAACCACTGACTTAAATAAAGACCTTCAATGGTTCCTCACATTAAAGGTAATCTTTCAACTCTTTTTTAATTATAATTTTTAAAATTTGCATCTAAACATTGCCTGTAAGGCTTCCATGATCTTCCCCTGCCTGCCTCTATAGCCTTCCCCAACTCAGACCCTATATTCTGCTTGAAGTAGGAAAAAAAAAAAAAAAAAAAGTCTGGTTCCTAATATATCCAGACATTTTGTGCCCCATGTGAAAATCATACTACGTTCTCCCTTCTCCCATTAATTAGCTTTTCTTTTTCTTCTATCACAGTGGTTTTCAAATTTTGTTGTCTTTGTATCAGAATTACCTAGAGAGTTTGTTAAAACCCAGAGCGCTGGGCCCCACTCCCCAGAGTTTAGGATTCTGTAGATCTAGGATGGGGCCTAAGAATTTGCATTTCTAACATGTTCCCAGGTGAGGCCGATGCCCTTTGAGAACCAGTATTCTAGTTCCTTGTCATTCTTAAGACTCAGATGTTTTGGTCACCTCATTGACAAAGTCTTCCTTGACTGCTGCAGGAGACTTTGTTTTCCTTTTCTGTTTTGGTAGCACCTTTAAAATAACAATGTTGAACCTTTATCACGTTACCCAACTGCTCATCCAGCTATCTCCCCTGCCTACCGACAACTCTTGATAGAAAGTTCTCTTGTCCCCATTCACTGGCCTGGCCTATGTCAGGCCAATGTGCAGATTCTCACAGCCTACCTTCCTCAACAAGGATCATTATAGAGGAATAAAAGTATAAAATGTTGGAAATTCTTAGATCCCTTTTAGCCCAAATCTTTGACCTACTTGCCTAGAATCTTTATTTACCCAGTTTCACTAACACACAGACCAATGGAAGTTGTTAAGTAAATTATGGTAAGAAATGACCCAATTGTTGTTTTCCGGTTGTTAAATGTATATATATATAAAATTGTTAAACATATATATGTGTGTATATATATACATATACATATATGTATATATATATATCTTATTTTCAGCTTTGAATCCATCACACTCTTCATCCTATAGACCACCACTAACTCATCAAAATCACCTGTTCTGCTTTGATAGGACCTGACCCAAGGGCAGCAACGCTACTTTTACAGCATCATGAGGATTTACAATTCCAGGCCCCAGTGGGAGGCCCTGCGGAACCGCTATATTCACAGCCTTCAGCACCAGCAGCTGCTTGGTGAGTTTTAACTACCCGACCTAAACCAGACACCCTTGGGAGGGCCTCATGTGCTACAGCCGGAAGTCACGTTTCCCGATAAATAATTCAAGTAGAATGGCCTCTGCCAGCGCGCTATTTTATAACATGGTTGGCAGGCCATGTTTAAAAATGATTATCCCTGACAATAGAAAACAAGGTTTTATGGGTAAATTAAGAGGGTTTCACGAAATCAGAGTACAGATTGCCGTAAAATGTCAACAACTGTCTGAGATTTACAGGAACTTGATCTAGTAGAAATGGCAATGGGCTTAGGCAGATGGTCTAGGCTCAAACCACAGCTCAGCCCCTTGCTGGATATGCAAATTCAGAGGCTTGCTTTACTCATGACAATAACAGTTACGCTTATTAAGCATTTACCACATTCCAGATATTGTGCTGGGAGCGCTACACACAACATCTCATTTTCCCAGACCCATGCCTAGCCAATGTCAGGGCCACTGCCAGCAAAGAGCGTACGTTTTCACCCCCATGCTCTGATATCTCTCTTCTAGTAACCTCGTGGGATTTTACAAAGTACAAATGAAATAATGGTTGCAAAAGACCGTCACAGACTTTAAGAGACAACCTTCAGAGGTGTGATTTTTGTTAAGTCCCTTTTCTTCCAGGAAATGTTTTCAGTCTCCAGCTGGCCTCTATTACACTCTTCTGACCCCGGCAGAGCTTTCTTTTTATAAGCAGCTCATTTCACATTAACACATCTACCTTACATTGCTGTTCCTGTCTTCGCACCAAAGGAAGACATGGTTTTTGCAATGACTGAGGAACGTGAGCAGTAACGATAGATTCCTGTTATTAGGCCTCCCTTTGTGCCTAGCACAGTTCTAAGCACTTTGCATATACTGCCTTACCTCAAACTCAAGACACCTCTATATGGTAGGTGCCTTTATAATGAACATTTTACAGAAGAGAAAATTGAGGCATGGATAAGAAATCGTTTGACCAGGATCATGCGACTAGTAAAAAGCAGACCCAGGATGCAGCCTGCTCCCCAGGATGGCCTGAATTCCTGCAGAAGCATCACCTACTAGCTTTGTTGGTAGAGTAAAACTGCATAGAGGCCAGTGAAACCACAGCCAGGATCGTCAGTATTTAGTGCACATAAAACCTACCTGCCTACGTTATCAACATGCAGATTACAGGCCAAACTCTGAGTGTCTGATTAGGAAAGTCTTTGGAGTAGAGCCAGAAATCTGAAATTTTAAAAAGCATTATTAAATGTGGTCTCAGCCTGATCAATCTGTAGTGGGTGGTCTGCAGGCTACACTTTAAAAACTCTGACGGAGATTGAATACCTCTGTTTCCGGTTTGAAGAAAGTTTTCAAAACAAAGATATGCAATGCAGGCTCAGATTACTCAAGGCCCAACTACCTCTCCGAGTGATTTGTCATGTTAATCAATGACTAGGTATTTATTAACTTACTGAATGAAAAATGCAAAAGAAGAAGTCTACTTCCCATCCTCAAAGATCATACAATCTGGGTGTGCTGAACATAACTGTCACTACCCTGCAAAGTAGAAAAAATTTTATGAATCCGTAAATATTTGCAGGGTTGTTTGCTTATTTGTTTTGTAAGCCTGTTGACTTGGAACTTCTCATTTCTCTCCCCTTAGGCTATATTACTCAACAGGAAGCCTTGGCTTGTGCCGCTGTACTTAGAGATTCAACCAAGAGAGCCTCAGCTAAGGTGGCTCCTCAAAGATCCATCCCCCAGAAGCCTTCAACCATGACAAGAACGTGGCTGCCAGCCCTACCTGGGTCTGTGGTTCGACCCAGGGCTCAAAGTGCAGGGCCTGGATCCATCAGGAATTGAGACTTCGCACAAGCTCTGAAACAGGTAATTTGCCCATGTACCCCCAAATCTAGTGGGTGCTAAGTGCATATTCCTTGTATGAGAATGAAAAAAAATAACTTCTAACACACACCCTATACCTAGAAATAATCTCTTTCCCACTCCCATAAATTCTACCAGCAAGAATAAGTTGGGGGGTTTAAGAGCAATGGAACTAAGTGTAAACACGCCTTCCACTCCACACATAATCTGTGGAGTGAAATGACTTTTGAAGCTTTCAAAGTAAATTTGAAATAATTCCTTTGAATTATTTGAATTATAAATTCTATTATAAATTCTATATTTAAATTATATTTAAATATATTTAAAATCTATTCATATTTTTATTTATATTTTATTTATCATATAAATTATATAATTTATGACATATATAAATTATACAATTTATTTTATATTATAATAAATTTTATCATTTATTATTTATATATATTTATTTATTCTAGATTATATTATTTATTTATATTATATATTCATATAATTTATTTATATAAATATATATATTAGATATATACATATATTTAAATTATATATAAATACTATATTTATATAAATATATTTAGATTATATATAAATACTATATTTATATATAAATTATATATATATGTTATATATATAATTATAAATTATAAAATTCAAATAATTCCTTTGAATTAGAACCTCTCAGACAAAGCTCAAAAACAGTAAAAATGCAAAAGTCATCAGAGGCAGCCAGGTCCCCAGACACTGGGTAACTATGGAAGCCACCCACTGCAGATTTTGAAAATACACAAACCAACACCAAGTTAATACTAAGTAGGCAGGGTTTCCAGAGTCCTGTCATCTCAGGAGCAACTGGCCTGTGCATTTCCATGTCCTCCTTCCTCTCTTCTTTCCCATCAAGCAATAGCATTTAACTTGGCCCCAAATCTTCTGTTTCTTGCCTGACTCCATCCCTTTGTGTCTTCTTAAAACTTGGACTTTATCAACTTGCCACAGCTGGGTTCATTCTATAGGGCTATAGTTGACCTTAACCCAGGTGAGAGAATTCAGGCACACATCTTCCCCTGGCAACTAAAGATATACTCTGAGCAGAACAAGAAATAGCCCTTAATGAATGGGTCTCAACTCTACCCTTGCCATGGCCTCATTGGTTTTAAGCAAGCACAGAAGACGAGACATATAAGTAAAAAAAAAAAAAGAGATAATGATTCAAAACAACATATAATGGTATAGTGTGGTATTAGTTATATTTAATAGTTATTTTCATCACTAGTGATTTTGTGTGCGTGGAATGTCAGTCACCGCCACCAGTGTTCACAAAAAGTCAAAATTTTTAAAATGCCTTTTATCTTTATTCTAAATGTTCAGCCTCCTTCCTTCATTTAAATCAGCCAATGACTCTTTCATACCCCTAAAAGGAGTTGCCTGAGATGGAATTACAGACTTGCTTGACAAGGGATGTGCGGACATTGATCTGGAAGGAAGATGCTATACCATTACAAGAAAAAGGAAAAAAAAAAAAAAAAACCTCATTGATGATGATGTTTATCTTTTCTCTGTAATCATTCATAAAGAATAAAGTTTCTTGACCTCTGTATGTCCTGGTCCTGACTCATATACTCTATGGAGCTTTTCAGTTCTAAGTTAAGAATCATTAGGTAGGCTTAAAAGAAGAAAAACAATAATGGAACTACAGGGAGCTATAGGGTAGCCTTCTGAGGGACTGAAGTTCGTGGCAGATTTCACCTGGCCTGTACTGGTTCTTCCATTGCTTCCATAATGGCCCTTTTATTCCCATGAACTTCTTACATGCACTTTTTAAAATTGAGGTTTAGTTGACACACAACATTACACTAGTTTCAAGTGTACAACACAGTGATTCAACAACTCTAAACATTATGCCAGGCATGCACTTTTACCTTAGATTTTTTTTTTTTTTGATGGGCATGGATATTTGCTGTGTAAGCCTTAACTAGTGATGCAGAATATTAAGGAGGGCACTTAAAATTTTGAGCTGCATTCCTGCATCAAAAATCTCAGAAGCACCTTATTTCCAATAGAGGCTTCTAAGAGCTAATTGGCAAGTGAATGTCAGAGGCCCATGAAAAGGACAAATCTAAGTTAGTGTAGAAGGTCCCACTTGTTGGTTCTCCCGACAGAAAGATAACGCCCTCCCTCTTGAGCCCTACACCCAAAGCCTAAGAGGAATATGGCTGTTTATGGTTCTAGAAGAAAGGCATTCACCTGAGATGACCTGAGAAAAACAAAGGCGAATAGAGGACAATCTGTAACACCAGCTTTGCTTATCCATTCCCTAGTTGATGAACAATTGAATTATTTCTAGTTTTGGACTATTACAAGTAAAATGCTGTAAATATTTTCAAATAAGCCTCTGTGCGCACAGAAGTTTTTGTTTCTCTTGAATAGCTATCTAGGAGTATAATTACTAGGTCACATGGCAGACTAAGGTTTAACTTCATAGGATAGTGTCAGGGTGTTTTCCTAAGTAAACACCCCACTTTGCATTCCCACTAGCAATGTATACAAAGTTCAAGTTGTTCCACATCCTTGCAATGTCAGACATTTTAATTTTCGTATTCTAGTGGCTATGGCTGCTGGCTGAAGATATTATCACTATTAAATACAGTCACCTTCTTACTTGGAACCATGGCAAATTTCAGGGAAGGAGTTTATCATAGGCAAGAAGGTGGTGATGGCAATAATCTTGGGCATTTAATAGAAGAAATTTCAAAGTTTAACAGTTAATACTGATAAAGCAACTCCTCAGCGTTTCCCCCCCCCTTGGGGAAGCAAAGGGTTGGAGGAGGTAAGGAAGAAGAAAAAGAAGCAACCCCTGTCGGAAGCACCATCCCTGGCCCAAACTGTCTAAAACACACAGAACTGGGCTCAGTGTGTCCTCAGCACCTTCTCACTTTTCCTTGTTCACGTTGTTCTTCAGGTCCACCACCACCACGATCTTTCCACACTATGTTACTTATTTATTGCTGCATAAGACATTACGCTAAAACACAGTGACTTAAGACAACCATACTGATGATCTCACAGTTTCCGTGGTCAGGAATCTAGGCAAGGCTTACCTGGAGCTTCGGGTTCAGGGTCTCCCGCAGACTGCAATCAAGGTGTTGGCTGAGGCTGTGGTCGTATGTGAAGATTCAACCGGGGACGGATGCGCCAGCTGATGTCTGGAGTCATCCTCTGTCCCTGCCACATAGGTCTCACTGTAAGGCAGAAATGTCAGTAAGCCTCAGTAAGTCACAAATGGCAACTTGTTTCATCAGAGTTAAAAAAAAAAAAAAAAAAGACAGTGAGAGAGACGGGATGGGGAGAGGTATAAGGTAGAAGTCACAGTCTCTTATAACCTAGTCTTAGAAGTGGCATCCCATCACCTGTGCTCTAGTCTACTCATTAGACCCAAGTTACTAGGTTCAGTCCACACACAAGAGTCAATGATTACACAAGGGCATGAACCCCAAAGGTGGGATCATCAGCAGCCGTTTCTGAAGCTATCTGCCAAAGCCAGGACTAGGGTGAGGTGAGTGAGGTGCCTAGGATGCAAAATGGAAGGATAACACTTATTCTTAGATGAGCCCCCATACACACCGATCCAACTTCAATCTTCGCCCTGCTGCCTGCCACATGCACCAAGCACACCTATGCTGGCTTCTGATCATCCACTCAGTGCTCCCTGCCCAGACTCCTAGCCTGAGCCTGTTTTCTTAGACAACCAACCCATGCTTCATACTTTCTTCTTGCCATGACCCTCTCTTGAGACTGAGCTGATTTGTGTTCCAATATTCCAACATGCTGTTGAAGAAAAAATGATTTCAGATAAGCCTAAGACATTTAATAATTGATACCTTGTTCACAGGTAATCTCTAGATGTATAGCACTATTTATCAAAAATGCAATTCATATACCACATTCACTGAAGATGCTTAAGGAAAATGTAAGTTCTTGCGTCCTATCCTAGACCCAGTGAATCAGAATCAGAAGAATGGCATCCCAGGTGTTCCTTATGTTTACTAAAGTATGATAACATGTAAGAATGGACTTCAGTAGCCAGAATGCTTTAGGCCTAATATAATAAAATGAATTTGTTTGGCCAACTTGCTGAAAATTAGGGACACAGACTGCATGATAAGAGTGGCTTTGGGACACACCTATACCCCTGAAACAAATAATACATTATATGTTAATTAACTGAATTTACATTTAAAAAAAGAGTGGCTTTGAGGATAGAGAAAGTATCTCCTTAATAACCTTCAATAACTAGTATAAATGAAATGTCAATTATTCTTATTCAAAGCCAGGTCAAACCAATGGCATACTATAACAGAACTTGAATCTACTAAAGTGGTTTATGTTTCCTAGATTTGGTATTACTAAATATGCATTACCCTTCCACCAAGATGACTACTGACTTGGTTTTCCCTCCCATTTCCTATTTTCTGATGGCCATAGAATAGGGCCAAGAGTTCCTGCACCTTTTCAATTAAAATGAGTTGCTAATTGCATCAGTGCTTGTAAAGGAAACCAGTATATTGGCCTCATTGACTCTGCTTTACCCCTTAAATTACAGTCCTGTTGCCTGAAATGTAATTAATCCCTCTGTCCAAAATCAATCCCTTGTTTGCCTCCAGAGAATTGTCGCTCATTTTTCTCCACATTAGGGCTATCATCCTGTGCCAGTTACATAATGGGTTCAGTCAGGTCAGAAGGAGAGGAAATCCCAGTAGCTATTGGAAATCACAGCTTAGGAACAGGGTCAGAGGCAATTACCCAACTGTAAGTAAGCCAAACACTCAAGTTTCATGGTGGGAGCTCCCAGCATCCTCCTGGCTCATGGGGTGTGGTTCCCTGAGGGGGAATGAGTAGCTGTTTATAAACAGAGGGTTCTATGAAAGACACCTTCTTTAATATAATGAGCCCAGAAGGATGATCAAGCTGGATTGACAGAAGAAAGTCAATGACATTTCAGAAGCCCAGTCTTGCAGAAGGGAAAAATAAATAAATAAATAAAAATCACACCACTGTAAATACATTACCTATTTAAATTCAATAAACTATTCTAGCATGTGTTGCATTGTGTATTTATCTAAATAAGGCAAGATCAGAAGGCAAAATCCCATGAGTCCAGGCGTCTGTTTTAAGCACAAGACTGGAAAGGA